TTCACTGCTAGTCCCCTCTCTTTAGTATGCTCCAAGAAACCATCAGGAAGCAAAGAATCCAAATCAGAGTCTCCCTGTTCTGTGATTTTTAGTAGGTGGATTGCGCACCGCCCACAAGAATCTTTGGCCATTTTTTTTCAATCCAATAGCTATTCCCCTTAACTGCTCTATAGTAAACAGCACCAAACTACCAAAACAAATAAACACAACTCTTTGGTTTGGTTCGGAGTCTAGCCAAGTTAAACACTCAGGCACATCATCATCAGGACTGGTCTTGCTGCTACCACCCCTTTTGGTATCAACTGTAGTCAATGGACCGATGCAAGAAATTGGTGGTGTGCGATTATTAGGCACACAGAGTCCATCTGATATTCCCTTAACAGCTTTGGACTCTAGCAATTCAAATGTATTGATCATAATCCTTGCTACTTTAGGGAATTGAGAGGCAACATCAAGAAAGTATACAGGCCTTGTTGTCTCGGTCAAGAAAAGGCTTTGGCACATCAGTGGCAAGGATTGGTGGCAAGCTAGGAGTATCAAGAAAGTCTTTCATATGTCTGAAACTTTCTGTATAAGATTGATGAAGGGTAGGGAAGTAGAGAAAAAAGGCAAGAAAGCAAGCAGCAGGTGTAATGAAAAACTAATAGGGATGTCAAGTTCAGCTGCTACACAAAGACCAGAAGCGCAAATGAAGTCCATAATAAGGCCATGAGTATTGTACCTTAATTTTCGATATGTTGAGGCGTTGTTGATGAACGTAATGGTTGCTAAGGCGAAGGATCTCTAAAGTGAGTTCTTCATGGTGGGTTACAGTGGTGGAAACTGGGGTAACAGCGGGTAGATGATGGAATTTGATGGAAGGAAAGGTGGCAGAAACAATGACGATGTATGTATCAGTTTTGCCTGCAATATAGGGTGCTATAGCAATACGAAAGTGAATAGAAAGGGAAGACTAAACCTAACAAACCCCTTAAACAGTGGCGAATGAATGCATCAGCCTCCCTGTTGAGGTCCTTCTCAAGAGAAAGGGCAACATAAACACCAATGAAGTGGAGGGTGGGAACCACCGTAGTAAAGTGGATATATTAGGAGGTAATAATTTTGCATCTTAATTATTTATTTTCTAATTGGTTAAATTTTTTTAATTTCATTATTATTTTACTATTTAAAAATTCTAAAGCTAAATTGATTATATTAGTTAAAAAAATATTGATTATGAATCATTTTCTATAAAGAATTTTAAAACTAAAATAGATAAGGATATTTAATTTATTTTGTAGAGATAAAGATTATTATTTAGAGTCAATAAAAATACTAGAAATATTGTTTTAGATTTTTTTATAGTTTGATTTATAACTTTAAAGCTTGAGACCTTTAATTTTATCTTTTTTATATTCTATATCAGATATATCAGGTGGTATCAGAACAAGTTAACATGATTTGATAACGAATTATAGAGATAATCATGGAATAGTTAGTTACAACCATCTCTATAATAATAATTAAGGGTTACAGACTATTTGGGATCAGCTAAACCACAATTCATTAGCAATTTCAGCTTTAGAAGAGTAAATACAAACTAGGTTTGACGACATTAATACTAAAATTGATGACCTTATAACCAAGCTTGAGATATTAAAGTTATATACAATACATGAATTGAGAAAGAAAAGAGACACGAGCTAGGGATGATACTGACAACCTCTTATTGGACTAGTTTGTCCAAATCCTCATAATTAGTATGACTATAAATATTCATATGATGAAGAATATCTTTTTAGTTGACAAGAGGCACAAACAAGAATTGTAAGTGAGGAGAGGAACATATTTGAAGACTTACCTTACCTTATACATATTTCTAAATTACATTTAGACAATCATTTATCCATGTAAAAGGTGTTGGTGAAGATAAACTTGATGGAGGCTATATATGGAATATTATAAAATCAAGACAAATAATCATAATCCAAGAAATAAAAATCGATCAACTTGATTAAATGTCAGTATATACAAGAACTTTTCACATATCAAAAACATGCTACTTTATAAATAAATTAACTACAATATTATATTCAAAGTATTTGTTCCCCTATAATATAAAAGTTTAATTTTTAATTAATAATTCAATGATAAGTTTTTTTCAAATGAGGAAGATTAATGTAGAACAAAGAGTTTGTGAATTAGATTCACAAGGTCAAGTTTGAAAATAAGTTTGCAAAAAAACCTAAAAACATTTGATATAAAACCTGAAGTTATTATGTTTTTGTTTTAATTATTTTCCTTGTTAATTTTAGTTTTTAATTATCTATTTTTTATTTAGATTAAAATTTTTAATTTAATTAGTATTTTAATATTTAAAAATCCTACTGTTAGATAGATTCTATAAGTTAGGAAAATTTTAATTAGAAATTATTTTCTATAAGGATTTTAGAAATCTCACTGCTAGATAGACTCTATAAGTTAGAAAAATTTTAATTAGAAATTATTTTTTATAAACATTTTTGGATTAATATAAATAAAAATGTGTAATTTATTTTATGAAGGTCAAGACTATTATTTAAAGTTAAAAAAAAATATCAAGAAATTTTTTCTAGATTTTTTTATAATTTAGTCTATAATCTTAGAGTTTGAAAACTTTAATTTTTATCTAATGCGTATTAAATTCTAATCTAGTTATTTTGTTTTTGTTTTTGTTTTTTGACAAACTCAATCATTATGTAAGTGGTTATATCAATTTTACTTTAATTTTTTTGGTAAAAAACAACTTCATTATCTTAAATGCTACAATAACTTCATATTTTTTTTCTAAAAAAAAATTGTGAATCAGTATTGAGTTTAATTTCTTGCTAAGTTAATTATACTTGATAAAAGAATTGTAATTTTACACGAAGTTATATCGAACAAAATTATTTACGGATCATAACAAGGTGAATTCTAAAGCCTTATTTTCTTGAGAAATATTATTGATACACCAAGGCTTGGGCTTTACTTGGTGTTTAATTTTCCCTTTTTAAATCCAAACTCTTCCTATTAATAAATGAGCTAAACTTCTGTATTGAGCTTATACTTATTAATATTCATTTAAGTGATTAGAAAAAAAAAATCTTATATATTCGAGTTAGAATTGATTAAAATTTATGGAATTCGAGTGAGATCATCATTCTTATTAACAACATGTGTGACTACTTGATCCAAAATACTTAAGACAATTAAAATAAAGATGATAGAATCCATCCCTTTTTAAAAGTATTGAATCGAAAATATTTATCCATGAGTCCATATCTAAAGAGAAGCCCTTGTTTTAGCAAACCTCAAGCTCTGGGCCAATTTCAAGCCAGAGTTTAATGGCCAATCCTACCTTACCCTAGAACGAAATCACTCAATCTCCAGCTTGCTGTTGCGTTTACGGAGGAAAAAGGAGCAAAAAATTGCAGCTTCCCGCCTCCAAAAATCAAGAAAAAAAAAAAACCCTTTTGTGAGAAATCCAGATAACATCATCATCAAAGCATTTTTTTTAAAAATGGTGAAATCCTAGAAAACAGAAGCCAGCAATTCTAACAGAGAAAACCCAGATGTGTTAGAGAGAAAAAGACTGAAAAAGCTTGCAATAACCAACAACATAGTATCAGACACGCACAAGTCAGGGTTCCATATTCATTGAACCCATCAAAAGTTTTTGTTAAACAACATGGTAAGGATATTATTAGGAAATCTCAAAGAAAAAACAGGTACTTGCCTTCATTTCCTGGTCTTCTCGCTCCTGTCAATGGTGGTGGCAAGATTGGCGAGCTCAAAGACTTGTCCTCTAAAAACCCTGTTCTTTACCTCGATTTTCCTCAGGTTTTGACTTAACAAGGGACCAATCAGTGAGGCCACAGCCATAAGCATTACAGAATGCAAGGGCTGGGGCAATGATGTGGATAACCAATATGTAATACCATTTTAGTTCGGGAAATATACGCGGAACGGTGGCTGTCGAGATGGCAGCAATTGCGACATAGCCTGCAACAGCAAACCATGTTGGAATTTGATCTTTGAGAAAGAATTGGTTGCGGCGTTGCTCATCATAGGAGATGCTGGAGATCCCGAGAGAGGAACGGTCAGCAATAAGGAGAGCACCAATTGCATTTCTCCCACGAAGTTGAGAAAACAAGGCAACGAGTGTTCGGCTTAGCACCTTGAAGAAGTTGTCCAGACCGTCACCCAAGATCAAGGCAGTGGCAATAAATACCTGAGTAAGTGTTGGTTTGGTTGAAAAGTCTTCAAGAATATGTAAAAAAATCATGTACTGGGCACTCTTGTCACCTTAACCTTGTTAGAAAACTTACCTTGTAACCTTGGAGGCCATGTAAGCTGCCTGGTTTGAGGTCTGCTGGATACCAGTCACCCTTTTTTGTATCTATGAGAGGCCACATCAGACCCCAGGAAAGAATTCCTCCAAGCAATACTGATATGTTTATGATATATGGGCAAATCATTCCAACTCCAACATATGTTGCTGAGAAATCAAAGAAAAATCTGTACGTGTAACAAGAACATCATTAGTCAACGATAACACAAAGAATTTGAAACACAATGCCACTATAAATTGAACTACATTCAGTAGGATGAGAAATTTTTTGAAGGTGGAGTAATGCTTTTACTTGTTTTCATATGCTTTAAGACCGAGTGAGGGGAACTCAGCAAATCCACAACCATCTCCGGCAGTGTAGAACCATTGAAAGAAACCCCACAAGAAGCTGAATGAGAAGAACTTTCCCAACACCCTCACTTGTTTCCTGCAATGGTAGAAAAACAAAGTACGATACTTGTAGTTGCCAAATGATCATCCAACTATAAGAGCATGAGATCTGATAATGCCTTACTTTGCTAGCTTGGCCCCTGTAGGAGTGTGGAAGCTGTTGATGAGATGACCAGTTGCAGTGCCACTTGGATATGTCAATTTGAAGTCTACAATCATGACCTGGAAATAACCAGGGTAACAATGAAGATTAGATTTTGGCAAAATCAATACAGTCGACAAGAATGGAAAGTGCAGAGAAAAGTGTTTTATTTCCAATAATCATATGACGAAATTGAATGGTTATATGGCGTTGTGAAGTCTACCTTTCGAAGAGGCACCACTGAAAAGAGTCCAAGAAAGCTAACAACAAACAGAAAGCCAATCATCCATGACAGAGATGGATTTTTAAAAGCATCTCTATATTCTGTTGATTGTTTGGCCACGGTTTCACTCATTCCAAACAGATAATTCCCAAAGCCTCCTATTGTAAGGAGACCATTAGTACGAAATTCAACGAGTTTAACATCATCATACAAATTAACTGTTTTATCACAACAAGTTCAGTTTCAAAACAAGTTTGGCATTCAATCTTGTCTTGACTATTTAGAAATATAGCGTATTCATCTTGACATTATGTTAATGATTCTCGGTCAATGAACAAGTTCAATATAGGAAAATCTACAGTAAAAGGGTTGATTAATTATATTCTCGTTTTCGTTTCGTTTACTAATGGAGAAGGCTTGTTTTTCCACTAATCAGAATATTATTTTAAGACTTACAGATATAACTTTGAACTTGGTAAGTTAACCATCTCAGCCAGTCGCACTTTATGCCCGGTGGGGCATTAGAAACCCAAGAAAACTGATGCTGACATGTCACCCAAAACTAAAAAATTTTAGCAGTTCACAGTTAAAAACTATACGTATGATTTAACATATATTTTTATGTACAGTAAGATAGGGTCAGCCCTAAAAATAAATTTGATTTAGCGAGATTTGCATAGTTAATTAAAACAACTATAACTCTTGATTCGAGTTGAATCAGACTTAAATTTGTAGTTTACAAGAAATTTCTAGACCAAAGTTCCATGAAAAATCCTCTTTTTGTAGTTTATCCACTATTCAAATTTATTGAAATTAAACTTGGAAGATCTAATATAGAAAACTTCCCTTCATTTCCTGGTTTTTTTGTGTTCTTTTGAATTTTATGTTATTTTCTTTTATATTTGAAGGTTATGATATTATTTTGTAAATTTAGAGATCAAGCTTGCAGTTCTTTTCGCTCAACAAATTTGTCTTCTCTGTAATTGTTGAACTGTCTTTATGCGTCTGCCCGCATAAAAAACACTAGATGAAAAATAAAAAGCAGCCACCCCCAACACCATTATCACACACTCCAGGAGACGGGGAGGAAGCTAATAAAAAAAATTTATAGATCATTTAAAGAAGACACTCATCAAACTTTTTCACTAAAGCAGATTTGTTCATGTCTCTAACAGCAAGCTCAAGTGTTGAGTAGTTTAGTAACAAGTGGCTGAAACAATTGCACAATGTTAGTCATAAAACCTCAATTTTGATTTGTCTCTCAAAGACTGCAGGCAGTAAAAAATTATTGTCTTCAATGATCTCACATCTGAGATGAAAGGGACAGAGACAAAAACGGCTGCCTCATCTTGTAATCTAGCAATTAGAAGAAGGAAAACTTGACATTGAATTTTAGCAACTACTTGAATTTAGCAACAATTAAGAACAGAAACAAAACCAAATGCATTGAAATATTATGTTGATCAAAGAAGCCTAGATATCTCTTCAACTCAGAAACAAAGGAGAGAAAAAATTGATTTTAAAAATAATTGAGAGATGAAATGAAAATTAATGGCAGTAAGAAGTACAGAAAGTATACCACTATTGGCAATGCCAGAGGAGGCAACCACACAAGTCTGTATAACAGTGTTCTCTTGCCTGGTAAAGGGTTGCTTCAAAAGGCCAGACTTTTCAAGAAACTTTGTCCAAGTCTTGATAAAAAAGAACCCCAGAAGGCCAGCAGAGATATTGAGGGAAGGTAGGATACCAGTTGTAAGATTGAGCTTCATTACTATGACGGTGAACAAAATGCTCAACACGAAGCTCACCACAAAGGCCCTCAGTGTCAGCTGATTCCTCCATGATGGCACTTCTTGGTTCTCAAATATTCTTTCCACTGACAACTCTTCTTCTTGTTCCTCTTTCTTGTCCTTCTTTCTGTGACCATGATCATCCTCCAAATCATAACCATTCTCTACCTCGATGTCATCTCTGCCATTACGTTCCATTTTCTTTTCTTAAAAAAAAAAAAAATTCTTTGTGGAGGCTACGAAAGTTGGGAGAGTGTTAAATAAGGTGGTTGTGATTATTGCTCTACAAAATTACTTCTTTAACCGGCGGGGGTCAAAACTGGTGTCTCTACAGTTCAATCTAGATTAACTCTTTATTAAAAAAATAAATTAAAACAATTTTACTTTAAAAAAAAACCAGAACTCAATTGGTTGAGTAAAGGCCTTGTTTGAAAAGTCTTAAGGGTCATTAAGTGCGAATTTAACAGTAACTACTACACAACTTAAGTGAACCACCCAATTAAGAAGAAGTCGTGATATGAAAAGTCTTAAAGGCCAAATAAGTGCTATATTGAGAATTTATTTGTCATCGGGAACAAATTTGATCAATGCCCTTATTTAAGGTGTCTAGAAAATTGTGTCTGGACAATTTTTTCTTCGGCTATTTTTTGTTAATGTCCTTGTATTTTATTTTAATTATTGTTTTATAAACTTTTTAATATATACTCAATGATTATATATATATAAAAAGATGTTAAATATATATATATATATATTTATTTATTTTTTTAAAAATTAAATATTGCTGAAAACCTATTAAAAAACAGGTGAAATGCATGGAACTATGCCTTTAAAAATATGACTAGGCAAGTGGGTTTGCCGGCCTTAGGCCGCACACCTAAGGCTTGATTTTTTTTTTTATATATTAAAAAATAGATGATGTGTTACATATAAGTCTGAAATTTAATCATCGTACAAGTAACTAGAAAATTAGGTTGTCTAGATGTTTAGCTAAAAACTCAATTTTTAATTTATTCTCATCTAAAAAATCTAAAAAATACTTTTATAATATTAAAAAAACTAATTCTTCAACTCAAAAAATATTTTAATTGGTTCAAAAATACAAAATTAAACTAAAAATAAAATAAAAAACTTTCTTAACTCTAATTTGTCTTTTTAGGTAATGTTGAAGGCCAAAAGCACCTCAACAACACTCCTCCCATCAAGATAAATACTATTACACCAGGTTTAGTAATTTTTGTCAACCAAATTGAAACAACCAACCTTTTCCTTTTTCTTGCTATTTTTTAATGATTTTCTCTCTCTTCTCAAGTATAAAAACCAAAATGTGAATATAATGAAATGTTGGATTAAGTTGTATAATGTTCAAAACTAAAAAGATAAAATAATAAAATTTGACAAAATCCTAAGCAAAAAAATTCTAAAAAGACGTAGAAACATCTTCTTCTTTTTTTTAAGAAAAAGAGTTGCTATTTTATAGAGTTCTCTTGCCCAGTAATAAAGGGTTGCTTCAAAAGGCCAGACTTTTCAAGAAACTGTGTCCTGGTCTTGATACCAGTGTCATCTTCCCTAGTAGGGGATTGCTTCTAAAGGTTCATTGTTCCACCATCTCAAATGTTTTTATTTATTTATTTATATAAATGTTAGAACAGTTTATATATATTATAGTTAATTTTATAATTTTTTAAATATTTTACAAATTTAGTAAATATATAAAATATCACAAGAATGACAAATATACATATAAAAACTTGAATTTAGAAGCAGCGGAAAAAGACAAATAACCTTCCGTAACTTTAAATATTTTAATTGTATTGCTAATAACTATCTATTTAAAAAAAAAACATAAAAATTTATAACCATCCACGGATTATGTCAAAGGATATTAATTTCTATCAAAATAGATTATATATTATCTCTAACTAAAGAAAAGGGCTATCTTGCCACAACAACTCTCTCGAGAACTTCCTCTACTTTTACTCTTCTATGTTTTTTTTAAAAAAACAAATCAAAGTTATTTCTGCATTAAATTAAATAGGTCTAGAAGTATACGTGGAAAACAACTGGCCTATAATAAAAAAAATAAACCCTAAATCTTAAAATAGTGCATGCAAAGACTAAATGCGGCCGTAAAGTATGAAAAATAACACAGTAAGAAAACTCAATACCATGTCCTAATACTGATTTCATATATCATTGATGACGTGTCGCGTACGTACCAATTAATCGTAAGACGAAAACTCAAAGCTTCTGTCCTAAGAGTACTGAATTCTTCATTGATGACTCGTTAATTACCATTTATACATAGAAAAGTACTCAATTCTTCTATTATATTACCATTTATGGATATCGATGGCAGATATTAATTAAATTAAAACAGTCAAGCAAGTTAGTGGGAAAATATTTAACGAGGTAGGCAACAAAAAATCAAACCCAAGGTATGATCATAAGACTAAATATTCACGCGTGTAAAAACATGAGGGATTTATTGAACCAAAATAATTAACTATTTAAGACACCGTCGATATTTTCCTCTATCTAGTCATGGTTTCTATTTCAATATTAATTTAAATTATGGTTATAGTTTTGTTAGTATCATTAAAAAGTCGTTACTTAATTATATATATATATATATAGACTCTAATACCATGGGGAACATGAACGAAGCATATTTGAAAGACTCTCTCTTCGGATAAAGAGCAATTTTATTTATATATATTTTTAAAAAATCGTACAATAGTTTTATATGAACTGACGTGCTGATTATTCTTTTCATTCTAGACTAATCTTTTAATATTTCTAAACTTATATTTAACTACTTATCACTTGACACATTAAAAAAAAAAAACCTCCAAGGGTTTAGGATTACTATGTGGATTGTGAGCAGATGCACTGTGAACATCTTTATTTTTATTTTTATTCTTTTAAACTTTTACTAACATATTTGGTCATGCTTAATTTTGTAAAAACAAATTAATCTTGTTGCATGCTAAAATAAAAACTTCAGGGACCAGATTTGATAAAAGGGGAAACAATGCAGGGTATTTTTGGGGTTTAATGTTCAAAAATGCACCTTCGACAAAAATTTTGCCAAATATTTGAATAAATTTCTAGAAAAATAAACTTTTGGGCTCTAGAACTCGTAGCATAATTTATTTTATTTTATTTCTAGAGGAATAATTTAGATTATTTGCCACAACAAAAGATTCGTTCATAATATTTAATATTATAATAGTGGTTTCTTTTTAAAATATTTTTATTTATAAATATATTAAAACATTAATTTTTAAAATTTATTTTTAATAGAACACACTAAAATAATAAAATAATATATAAAAAATTAATTTAAAATGATTTTTTAATTATTTTTAAAAAATACAATACTACTGTGAAAACAAACACCATCATAATTTAGTATAAAATAAAAGATAAAAGAGGAATGAACAACTAATAAAAAAATAGCTCAGGCACTTGGTTTTTTGGTAGCTTGCAAGACCTAGTATGATTTGCTCTTCTTCTTCTTCTTCTTCCTTTTTTTTTTTTTTTTATAATTTTCCCTTGTTTTCATTTTTTTATTAATACCCCCTTTTATGTATTTTTATTCTCTGCATTATTTTTTATTTGAATTTTAATTAATACATTCTATTTTATTTTTTAAAATAGTTTAGTTTAGATTTCTTAAATATATATTTTTTGTTTTTTTGGTATTCTTATAATGTTTCAAATAAATTATTGTAATTTATCTTTAATTTTTATTTCTTTTATATTTGATAGAAATAAATTGTATTTGCATGATTTATTTATAAAACTATAAGCCATTTGTTCTTGGCAAGACTAACAACTAAGATAAAATAAATTAAAATATATAAATTAAAAAAAAGTTGGGGTTAAATATTTACACACTTTTGCTTTTAAGGGAAAAATTATCTTTCTATTTTATTTTATAATTAGAATAATCTCTTTCTTAGATTATTGGTTCATAATTTTTAATATTTATTTTATTAAATATAAACAATACTTTTGCTCTTTTTTTTAATTAACAAAATCTTAATACTTGAAAATATATTCATACCATTGCGATGCATGCCTAGCCTGGTGTTTTTTAGCCAAGAGCTGGCTCAATAGGCTAAGGCTTCTGAGTTATTTTTATGAGCTCTTATTTATGTTATGTGTGTGTTTTAATTTAAATTTGTTTAACTAAAATAAATAAAATTATTTTTAGAATATTTTGCCATTAAATAAATAAAATTTAAATTCAATCAATTTTACTAAACACGTGCATCAATTTTTTGGTTTATATTTGAAGTTTTTCCTTATGCACACAAATACATTGAAAACACTTATATATTTTTATTACATTACAAATAAATATTTATATAATACAGGTGATGAGAACACTAGATCCACACTATAGATTACAGTATGAATGGAAATAATGTAAGATGACATAGCCCGTTACTCTTTGGTTAAAAGATTGAGCTTATTTGAATTTGTTTTATTAATTTATTTATTTGAGTTATTTATAGTAGACAGTTTTAATTGATGAGTTGAGCTTAATAATTAGATATTTTAGAGTTTTGTTATTTATATGTTTCT